CGAGGCCTGCACCGGCTTCTACACCCGCGCGAGGTGGCGCGCGCTGCTGCAGCAAGTCGGCGCTGGAGCTGCCGGGCCGCGGCCTCGGCGCCCGCGGCGCGTTTATTCTCTCCGCCGCGATCGCGAAGAACCGCAGCCTGGGCTGCCTGAACCTCGCGCAGAACGGGCTGGGCGACGAGGGCGCCATCGCCCTGGCGGATCTCCTCCGCGTGAACGACGCCCTCCACACGCTGGACCTGTCGCAGAACGGCATCAGCGACGTCGGCGGCATCGCCCTGGCCTCGGCCTTCCTGCCGAGCGTCTCCCCTTCAGGCCAGCCGGGGCAGTGGAATCGAAGCCTGGCCTCGCTGAATTTGCTCGGGAACGAGTGCGGGGATGACACGCTGCTCGCCTTTAGCAACGCCGCGATCAGCCACCACGGCTTCTCGACGATTAACCTCGGGTGGAATCGGATCGGGCCGAAGGGGACGCGCAACCTCAGCCGCTGCTTTCAGCATAACCCGGTGTGTAATTTCATCCTGCACTCGAACCACCTGGGGGATGAGGGGGTGATCCACCTCTGCGAGGCCCTCCGCCTGCACGGCGGGAAGAGCCAGTGCACGCTCAATCTGAATCGCAACGGCATCGGCCCCCGCGGCGCCGCGGCGATTGCGGGGCTGTTGGACGGGAACGACTTCATCCTCGAGCTGGATCTTTCCCTAAACACGCTCGGGGTGCGCGGGGTGCAGGAGCTTTGCCGGGTTTTAACCTCCTCGACCTGCGTGTTGAGGACGCTAAACCTCGCGGATAACCTGATCGGGGACGAGGGCGCCAAGGAGGTCGCCCGCCTGGTCGCCGCGAACATCCCGAGCCTAAATCGCCTGAATGTCTCCGATAACGAAATCGGCGAAAAGGGCTCCTTTCAGCTCGTCAATGCCCTGCACGAGAACACCAATCTGCTGGTCGTCCACGCCAGGCGGAACACCTTTGGGGAAAAGACGGTTAAAAGCCTCGAGGAGCTGGTCCGCACGACGAAGTCGCTTTCGTCGTTAAATATCATCAATTGCGTGTCCTCGCCGGAGCTGCGATGGCGTCTGAGTTTGGCGGTTGGGGAATCCGACGGCGTGCACGTCGAGATGGGGACGGATACCACGCTGGAGAACGACGATGAGGTGGAAATTTTGGCCCGCATTAACGAGTACGTTCAGACTTTGGAGGACCAGGAAGCCCAGCGTGCGAAGGAGGCCGCCGCCAACAAAAAACTGAAGCGCGTGAAGTCCAAGGTATCCTGAGGAGGTTGGGATAAAATGGGGGGAAAGAAAAAACAGCGGTGGCGAATCGTTTGCCTATATTGCGCGATGAACGAGTTTGGAGATGTAAATTAGTGGTTTTGTCGTTCAATTATGTTTGTCGTCTGGAGCATTTTTCTAGATTGATAAAATTATTTAGATCCGCAGAAAAGAAAAAAAGGAATTGCTATTGATTACTCCCGCGTGTGGTCTCTCCACTTTGTGTGTGTGTGTGTATGGATGAGTGTTATTTTTCCTCCCTTTTCCCCTCTCTCTATGAGTTGTCTTTCCGTTTTTGCAATAAAGATTGCTATCTTATTGTTGTTTGTGTTTTTGTTGCTATTGCTATTACGTTCTGTCCAGGTATTCATACACTTACCTTGAGGGGCGATCAAACTATTTTGGGGTAAGGCTCCAGGAGTTTTCGTTGTTTTTTTTTCATTTAGT